GGTTACCATGACTATACATTGATGTGTACAGCGTAACCATTGTAGTGTGGTATTAGACACCAGCAGCACTACAGTAGCAGCCTACACGCCGTGGATTAACAGACGATTGTCACGTGGATCAACCAGATTTGTATAATCACTGGTAATTAACATCAACACGCTGTCCATTACCACTGCATTAACACGTGCGGTGACGGAGACAACTTGATGCATTTTAATGAACTACATTCATTAAGTTACAAACTCCGCATTTGCTATTCGTTAAAACGATTTGTGGTTGATTATAGTTGTCAAATTATACACGACTGGGATTTGATATAATTAAATGACATTTTCAAATCATTTGTGGTAAAAATTTATTCGTTTTATATTTATAACATAAAATTAGTACTACACAACATACTTTACTTTCCGTACTACACAAATAACTATTGTCAAATATTTTTTAATTATTACAATAAGAATCATAACGCTCGATAAACACTTATTAACTGAAATGTCCTTTAAAAGTCACAACTAACAATTTATTTATCGAGGACAACTCTATCCTTCTACATTAAATGCCAATAGAGATGTGGTAGATATATATTATTAGCATAGTCCCACAATAATAAATGCAGAATAAATAATTGCTAATAAATGAAACTGCGCTTGTTGGGAAGAAAATAAAACTCATGACTTAAATTAAGGAAAATTAAAACGGAGTCACAAAAAATGCAAAAATTAGAATATTTATAAACCTGGTAGGGAAATAATGAAATAACCTTTCGAAGTATTAAAATAGCAAATTATTACTATGAATACCAACATCCTAACTACCTCTATTTTACAGTGATTATATACTTACAGTGTTCTTTATTCATGTAAAAATATGTAATTACATTACCAAGAAAATCATTACTTTTATTTAACTATGTCAACATCTCTAAGCTAAGAAGGAAAATATTAATTTATTTTTAAAGTGAGCTGTTCTTTCCAGTACAGCTATAAAGTAAACATTTATATTTTACACTGTACTTCACTTTATATATATTCAGTTACGGAATTAAATTCACGCACAGTTTATGTTTTTAGTGATTCATATACATTTTATTTCTCTTGCACAAGTACAGTAATTTAAACATGCTCAATAGGCCACTACTGTATTGGTTCTGTCTAAATTATCCTATGAAACAACAGTAAACATTCATCATTAAAAAAATATAAACATTTACTAAAACATTTTTGCTAAGTATCCTAAATGTCTTATCTAAACTAAAAATAACACATAAAGATATTGTAATTATCATACTATTATACCTTTTACACAAATATATTGTTGAAGACTGTTGCTAAAGAAAATCTCAGAATTGAGGGTTTACAAGACTATTACATGCAACTGAATAGAAAAGTTGAGGGAACTGAGCTTGTTAACTCGGTCTCATTCAGAAAGTCTGTTGGACTGCAACCCTCGTCGACAAAGTAGCTAGAGCACCCTTACAAAACATGCCTCTTTTAGTTACAAAAACCAAAGGATAATACGAATATCGTTGCTTCAGGTAATGGTGTGCAACTTTGTTTTAACGACAATACAATTTTCATATGGCTTTCATAATAGTTATTATGAAATACATTCGGCAAATAAAGCAAAACTTAAATTAAAACAAATAAATTATTACTTCGTATGTTGTGAAAGTATCATATTGTTAAATTTGCAACCTAAATTAATAAGGTTGATAATTTTCTCGTTAATTTGAGTGCGTCGATGTGTAATATGATTTTATCTTATTTTATGTTAGTCGTTACATGGTGCTTTTTTAATTTTGGCTAAAATATCAAAGGACAGATATTAGTTTATTATTTTTATTTCCTTGAAGTAGTTGTGAATTTGAAAAATGAAACAAACAACAAAATGCACTCCACAAATACGTGAAATATACATTAGCTGAACCATTACAATAGGAAATCTATAATAAATTATGTTAAGTCTACGCTTGAACATAAAGATTAATCTTATTGTACGCAATTAATGTAAATGTTGTACAATTTAATAACCATCTGTTCCACTTGCGCTTCATAGTAACAGAGTATTGTGAGAAAGGGGTGCAGGGGTGAGGGGTGAGCCAGCAACTTATGTAATACTATGCTAAACATCCCCAGATGATGTGAGATGGGGGACTATCTGTAGCATTCACAGTCACAGTGCTGTATCCTTATATCGCCATATTCACCAATTTTAGATAGTACATTTTATAAAGAAAACATTATTTTTCTATTTATTTAAGTTTGTGTTGACATTAAAATTAAAAATACGATGAGGATTTTTTTTTTAAATACTGTAAACTTGTTGGTTTAGGTTCAAACAATATCATAATATCATACTTACAAGTCATAAACACAAAAAGATTATCAGCTATTACTGTCCTTTAATGATACGATTAATATTAAGAAACCCTTATAAGTTTTTAAGCGGCTCATTATAAACTGTAGCATTCTTTTTTCTTTATCTGCCATCAACTGCCACATTATAAAAAACATAATGAAAAGTAACTTTGATTGTGGATTGAACCACACACATCCCTATGTAAAAGCTTTAACCAGATTAACAAAATATGAACGTTTTTGAGTCACCGATAGATTGCTCTGATGAAAACTACTCATTTATGTCGAAGGCAATTTATTTACGAACAAAACTGAATGGACAACTTATTGCAAAAATAGCAACTTTCATTACACATCCGTAGGTTTTGTCAGAATAGTTACAACAAATGAGGGAGGAAGAAGAATTCTGCACTATAGTGTGCCTGTAGTAAGTGGCTGGTTCAACTGTGTTCTTTTTAAATAGAAAGTTCGCTACAATTATGGGATGGGATGTTTACTTCTGCATCCATAAGTTAATGTTAACGTTAATGTTATTAGATAAGCACACTCTATGATGTTATATGTGAGTGTTTTAGGGTCTATATAGCTTTAATGTCTACTTCAGCATACAAAAGTAAATGTTACCTAAATATTAGCTTAGCATATTAGATACCCGTTTATCTATGTTCTATATGAGTGTAATCTGGTCTATATAGACTGGATGTACACTTCAGTATCCAAAATCAATGGTACTCTGTGGCAGTGGAGTTACTCACTTTTACCGCCAAAATCACGTTAGCAGGCAATATGGCCGGGTTATAACACTATTGAGTTACGGGCTTTTTACCCGCCCACCCCCGGAAATACGGTTTCCCGCGAACGGAAGTGAGTGCCAAATTTCCCTGTTTATTTTTGACGTCGAGTAATGACTTGGGAAGATTCGATCAGCTTTGAACTGTTGATGGGCCTTTAATCCCCCGTTGCCCCCGTCCGACTTTGGCGGTGCGAAATGTGGTAAACCACAATAGTTTGTTCTTCTTTTTTTGTTTTTGTGGTTCGCTGTGAATAAATGTAATCTTCTATTTGCAACTAGTAATCATCCTACTTTACTCATGGAATTCCTTTTGGCGGTGAACAATACTTTTTAAGTTGCATTTGTTAATTTTTGATGTACTTCAAACTAATACACTTTTACAGTCAACATCACTCAATAGTTAGGGTTTATTTTTTAATACTTTACGTATTTACTTCCATGTAGTACATAGAACAAGTTGTATAAGAAATAAGAAATTAAACGAGTACACTCTTTGAGCTCAAAGCTCATTCATGAAACTTTATAAACACTTAAATTGTGATACTTTAAGCCCTACGACAAAGGATACTTCATCGCTCACAAGGTGCTCCATCTTGGTACGATTCCACTTATTTAAAAATAAAGATTTAAATACAAATCTTGGATATTTTATTAGTAAAAAAACTTCTGAGATAAAAACTTTGTAAATTTCACTGGAAAGCAAAAGGAAATACAGAATGAAAGAAAAATTGATAAACAGTAGTGCTTATATAAGGTTGCATATTAAGTAATGGTGTGCTAGGCTCGGCTTATGTATGATAACAAGTTTTTTTTTTCTTTAGGTTTAAGGAAAAGTTAAATTAAGAATATTCAAAGTTGCCTAAATAAGTACATTGGCATCTGGGAAATTGTACTGGGATTAGGTGGAGACCAAGGGTTTTTATCAACCTTTTATTTTAAACAGGTCTTTAGACTACGTGTTACATAATGGGGGGGGGGTGGGGTTATGTTTTGTTTGCTGAACTTTTCATTGAAATATTCTGAACATAAGAGCAATTTGAAAAAAATAATTAGTAAAAATGTAATGAATATTTTGCTTAATTATACTGAAACGTGCACTAAGACATCCAAATGATTTTAAGAGTAGAAAATAAGAAAAATACAAACTTACTGAGGAAGAACGTACCTAGTTAGTTAAAGAAATTAGGTTTGATAATCATACAAATATAATGTTGTTCAAAGGTTTATTGCGGACATTTTCCATCACGAATGTAAAAAAAAAAACAATACACAACGTTTCGGGATCTGGAATCTGATCCCGTCTTCAGGTGAAAAAACTTAACTAACACATTACAACTAACAATACACAAACGCCCAACCTAAGTTGGAATACACTACCGAGGGTAGTAGTCAAAAAACACTATAACTGCATTTTTTTATTTGCACTATAGTGCATTTTTTTTTACTACTACCCTCGGTAGTGTATTCCAACTTAGGTTGGGCGTTTGTGTATTGTTAGTTGTAATGTGTTAGTTAAGTTTTTTCACCTGAAGACGGGATCAGATTCCAGATCCCGAAACGTTGTGTATTGTTTTTTTTTTTTTTTACATTCGTGATGGAAAATGTCCGCAATAAACCTTTGAACAACATTAACTCACCATCACCAACAATGAACTTCAAACAAAGAATTGATTCTCGGTACGGACCCGGAGTAAGTAATCAAATAAGTGAATTGGAACAAATGCATTTAAAATTGGCTAATCACACAAACCATTTGACCTTTCTTGTGAAATGCAAACGTGAAAATTTGATACCTAAAGGTTTTTACCTAAAGCCTCCTTACAAAAGTTTCAAAGCCAGCAAAATAATGTCTTTAGCTTCTAAATCTCTAATCAATGAAAGAATTGAACACCACCGTTTAGAAAAAAGACTTCTGAAAAGCTCTATTGAGAACAAAAAAGCTGAATTGGCACTAATAATAGGTTCTGATTTTCAAAACATTTTTCAAAGCATACAAAATAGGTTCAACAAAGAATCGGAAAATGTGAAGGCTAGGCAAAAGGCTAAACTACAACATCTCAGACCTCCCGATAACATTGATAGGAATACTCAAATTTCACAGTGTGATGATGCAAAAAACCAAGTTGTGAATCTGTCTTCTAAAGTTCTAAACCCAGTTGAGATTTCTGTTTTGAGCAGAGGGCTAAATTTTTCCGTTGTGCCTAAATCAGTTAAAACGCTGGATTTTGTGACAGGGATTGAGTCTGCTGTTTCTCAGTTACCTGAGTCTCAGGGGGATCAGTTCCGTTGTGAAGCTAGTATTTTACTAAAGAAAATTCCTACTCCTAAACCTAATCTTAGTAAAGAGGAAACCAAAGCAGTATCAGTCCTTGGGAAAGACGGTACTGTAAAGATTTTGCCCGCGGATAAAGGGAATGCCACGGTAGTTCTTGATACTGTGACATACGAAGAAAAAATGTTAGAAACTTTGCAATCTGGCCAATACACCCAATTGAAAAAAGACCCCACAGAAACTTTCGAGCGTAAAATCGCTAGTACTCTAAGAAAACACAAAAAGTTTTTTAGCGACAAACAAAGGACTCGGTTGACACCACACCATTCCAAAATTCCACACATGTACGGGTTACCTAAGATCCACAAACCTAACGTTCCTCTGAGACCAATAGTTAGCTCCCGTGATTCTGCTTGTAGGGAATTGTCTAAAGTCCTTCTGGACATTTTAAAGCCTTTAGTAGGAAACACTGATTCGTTTATCAAAAACTCCAAAGATTTTGTAGAAAAGTCTAAATCTATCGTACTGGCTGATACTGACAAGCTGGTCAGCTTCGATGTTGAAAGTCTGTTTACGAATGTCCCCGTTTCGGAAACCCTAAAAATAATTGAGACCCGTCTCACAAACGACGATACTTTAGCAAACAGAACTAAACTCCCTGTTAACGTCATAATGGAACTTTTGGAGTTGTGTACTCAATGTAACTATTTCCAATTAGAGGGTAAATTATACCGTCAAGATGAGGGTATGGCCATGGGGTCACCATTGTCACCTATCTTTGCCAACATCTTTATGGAGGAGTTTGAGCAAAAAGCTTTGGCTTCAGCTCGGCTCAAACCGAGGATATGGTGGAGATATGTCGATGACACTTTCGTGGTTTTCCCTCATGGAGATGATAAATTGAATGAGTTTTTAGAGCATCTTAATAGCGTTTCATCCTCCATAAAACTAACCATGGAGGTGGAATCACAAAACAAACTCCCCTTTTTGGACGTGTGCGTAGAAAAGCATTTGAACAGTCTTAGAACATCTGTTTATAGAAAAAAGACACACACAGGGCAGTATCTAAACTTTCAATCAAACCACCAAATTTCTGTCAAGGAGGGGGTTGCTTACTCTCTGTTTGACAGGGCTAAGAGCATTTGCTCCATCAGGATGAGTTAAAGGATGAAATTAAGAAAGTAGAACAGGATTTGGCTAGTAACGGATACCCTCGATCCATTATAAACAAATGCAAGAAAGATAGGGCTACGCGTGAACCTTTACAAAATCGCAAGGAAAAACTCGTCCACATGTCAATCCCGTATGTGTCAGGACTGTCGGAAAAAATCAGAAGGGTTGCTAGGAAATTTAATGTGCAAACAGCATTTAGGACACAAAACACACTTAGGCAGAGTCTCGTCAAAACAAAACCCAAAAATGACACTCAGGATACTAAAAACTGTGTTTACAGAATAAATTGCAATGATTGTTCCAGGCCTTACTATGGCGAGACAAAAAGACCGTTGAACATTAGAATCAAAGAACACAGAGAAAACACCAAAAAAGGTTTAGTGGAAAAATCTAAGATCGCTCATCATTGCTGGTCCGAAAGTCATCGTATGAATTTTGAAGAGGCAAAAATTGTCCATAAGGAACCTCATTTTTTCAAACGTAAACTCATTGAAGCCTCATACATTAAATTAGCAGACCAACCAATCAGTCAGTCATCGGTTGAAATAAGGCCACTTTGGCTACCCATTTTGAACAAGGAACTAAAGGATAGGGAACTTAATTGTTCAATAAATAGGGAAATAACGAGTTCTCCTCAAAATTCGCACGTTATGTTAACTCGTAGTAAAACTCGTGATATGAATAAACATAATTAACACCCATCTTGCGGCATCGTACATCGCTCCGCCATTTTGTTGGTTTTACTTTTCCAGGGACCGGAAGCCATTTCTGTTGTCTCCGTGTTTCCGATTGGTCAGCCATGTTGGTTCAGTCTCATTGGTGGAGTCATAGCGTACGGTGTTGTTAGTGTTCCATTGTGTGAGTTTTTTGTACGTAAACCTTTTATAGATTATAGTGTTTTGTGATTTGTTATTAATTGCATGTTGTATCATGACTTGACTGCTATACAGTGCATTTTTTTTTTTTTTTTTTTTTTTTTTTTTTGACTACTACCCTCGGTAGTGTATTCCAACTTAGGTTGGGCGTTTGTGTATTGTTAGTTGTAATGTGTTAGTTAAGTTTTTTCACCTGAAGACGGGATCAGATTCCAGATCCCGAAACGTTGTGTATTGTTTTTTTTTACATTCGTGATGGAAAATGTCCGCAATAAACCTTTGAACAACATTAACTCACCATCACCAACAATGAACTTCAAACAAAGAACAAATATAATGGTTACAGTTTCTGGATATGACCACAAAACTAAATAATAGTTGCTATGACAAGTCAATTTACAAAATCATGTTAAGGGTCTATATATTATTAGGCAAGCATGTTTCCTTAAAACTTTTTTCCCCAGATCGTGTGCAACAGGGTAAAATCTACGCATATTTTAGAGAGAAATATTCATATAGATTTGCAGAATCCCTTTATAAATAAAAATAGGCTCAAAAATAACAAAAATAAAAATGAGTTAAAAAAATAACGTGGGTCTTATGGGTTGGCAAGCTGTTCACGAAATATAAACTGAAAATTAAAACAATTGGATGAAATTCTAATCACATGTTTTATTTTGTGGGGTGAAAATAGAAAAGTCTGTACGTTAAATATTTTTGGTCGAGTTTTCGACCACTGGACGACCTTTAGTATTGATAAAAGAGCAGTTATTCTTTTTAAACGGTCTCTATGTAAAATATTCTGTATATTTTTTAATTTATTTTTTCAAGTGCATAGAAAGATGGCCATAACCTGGTACCAGAGTGAGGCCTAGGCCACGGCCAGGCGGCACATAATGCCATTACGGAGGTCTGCTCGGCATACGAAGCAGCGTCGACTCGTGTGATTCAATTTGATACGTGCTCTAAATTGATTTGCGATTAATTGAGCTCATCGCCTTCCTTCGTTTTCCCAATTTTAACAGTAGACTCTGGATTGATAGGGATGTCCGAGTGGGAAATTAACACTTTTTCGTGCTCTATTAAAAAATGTCCCAGCGATAATAAAAACAAGATCTGTAGTGAAATTCTATACAAATTGTCATGTATATTAACAAAGTAAAATTCTTGCAAAAAGACGGAAACTCCAAAAACTGAACACAAATAGCTACCCTATTACTTCCTTACCTCACCTTTCTCTCCCAAAACATTTCCAATAGTTTAAACGAACACAAAATCTTACGCTTAGCTGCCCTATTACTTACTTCCTTGCCTTAACCTTACCCCTCTCCCAAAATACGAACACGAACACAAAATCTTACGCTTAGCTGCCCTATTACTTACTTCCTTGCCTTAACCTTACCCCTCTCCCAAAATACGAACACGAAAACAAAATCTTACGCCTAGCTACCCTATTACTTACTTCCTTACCTTAACCTTACCCCTCTCCCAAAATACGGACACGAACACAAAATCTTACGCTCAGCTACCCTATTACTTCCTTGCCTTACCCCTCTCCCAAAGGCAAAAAAAAACTTCCAATAGTTCAAACGAATGCTTCGCAAACTCATTTAAATAAATTTGTTCACCTTTCATTCAAATTTCAAAATTTGAGAATTCAATCGTGAGCTATTTAGCCATAGGAAAGATACACATAATCATTGTTTCGGCTCCCTTAATCGTGAATCCATTTGATTTATGTTAAATTACATATTCAATTATAAAAATACTAATATCTATGACT